ATTAAGATTAAGATTAGCGCTAACTGTAGTGGAAGTTTTAAGGGAAGGGTTTTGAATTAAGATTGTGACTACGCTCTTCCTGGTCTTTGCCAACAATACTATCTGTCTATAATACTCGCTACTACAGCTGCTGTCAGGGCCCGAGAAATGCGGCCCAAGTCAACGACGGAGCGGGACACGTGAGTACCATTAGCGGTCCGTGAACTTTCGTCAACGAGTGTCAATATCGCTTGATCTAAACCGGCAAGGCAACGAGCTCGTGGCTCGATGGTTGAGGCGTTTAACCCTAATCAGAAAAGTGGCGAGTTCGAGGCTCGGTTGGGACATCACATGGGTCTAGGAATGAATGGCTGACGGCGGCTAATAAGCCAGAAATGGCCATCCCAGTTTCCCCTATTATTGCCGGCAACACTACCTGCCAGAACGCTAACTCTCATGCGATGGGATCCAATCACACCTTTAAGTCGGATGAGACCGAAATTCTCGCAAAAGTTGACAACTGCATGAGCCGTGAACTGGTTGAGTCTTGGCGTCCCACCCGAGCCTCGAACTCGCGACCTTTCTGATCAGGATCTAACACCCTGAACAGTAAGCCACGAGGCCGTTGTCTTGCCGGTTTAGGTCGGGAATATTGACACTCCTTGATGAACGTTCACCCGACCGCTGACAGAACTCACCTGTCCCGCTATGCCTTGCGTCTCAACAGAGGTCCTGACAGCCATAGCAGCTGGTAGTACAGGCAGATAGTATTGCCGGTAAAGATAAGGAAGATTGGAATGGCTCTTTTTGGCGTATTAGACGTCGTCAACAAGTCATGCCCAAACCCAAGTGGTGCCCCACCCGAGCCTCGAACCCGCGGCCTTTTTGATCAGAGTCAACCATTGATACACGAGCTCGTTGCTCCGCTAGTTTTGGTCAGCGGATATTGACATTCTTCGATGAAATTTCGCCTGGGGCTCCGCTTGAGTCCGGGTATGACTAGCTGACGCCGGTTAATAAGCCAGAAATGGCTATTTCCGTCTTTCTTGTCTTTGCTGGCAATACTTTCTACCTATACCGGTCGCCGCTACAGCTGCTGCCAGGGCCTGAGAAATGAGACCTATGTCAAAGGCGGGGTTCGGACAAGTGAGTTCCATTAGCGGTCCTTGAAATTTCGTCAACGAGCGTCAATATAGTTTATGTTTATATTAGGACAAGCGTTGGGGTTAGGACGCTCGAAAATGTATCCTTCAAGGAATTATGCTCAGGGCCAGCATTAGTACTTAGGCTGCGCGTTCCTATTTC